CAAAATAGATTTTAAGGCCCAAAGTAATAAGTAATAAGGATCCTTTTTTAATAATTAAAAAAAATCACTTCACCCATAAAAAAAGAGTAATCCTAAATCTGAGATCATAGAACAAGATGTTCTCAACATTTACAAAATAGAACTTGCCATTTACAAAACAAAGCAAGGAGAAATTGACGAATCTACAATTACACAGAACAATCATTAGAATTCAGAAACTGGGAGACCACACAGATCTTTTAAAATGCTAAGTATGTAAAAATATGAATGACGTGATTTACATTTATTATCTATTGGGCATTTATAGAATGCTGATCCCAAAATTTAGAGAATCACAATCTTTACAAAAACTGAACATATATTAGCCTACAAAGCAAGTCTTCACAAATACCAAAGAATCAAAATCATACAGAACAGAAATAAGCAGCCTTTAAAAAGTAACATTCAGTGAACACAAAGGGAGTACTCAGAATTAAAATAAGGCAGTAGAAGGAAAATCTCAGCAGTATGTGTGGAAAGTAAAAGTGAAACCATTTCCCAGCAAGTAGAAGAAAAAGACAAAGAAGTAGAACATGGAAAAGAAAGGCTAAGAATATTAAAGCATCAGTTTAGCAGTTCTAACATTCCCAAAATAGGGATTTCAAAAAGAGAAAACAGAGGGGGGGCGTAGGGTTTTTTAAAGACCAGGCCAGACTGAAGACTTGTGACTCAAGAGACAGACACGCCAAGGTCTGGAAAAGCCAGGATGCCGACTGACAGCATTGCTGCATTTCTAACCCCAGAATGTCCAAGCAAAGCTGCCTCAAATGCTCATCTGTGTTTCACTTGTCATGCCACAGGCCGGAGAAGTTGCTGCTCTCTCCTCTGAGCTCATTTACAGAAGTTCACTCACCTAACCATATTCCTGTTGATGTCCACTGTCTGGCCCACACCATCTCCGACCTTCCGGATGCCCTGACTACGGTGAGCTCCATTTTCTTAGGACACACTTACGACCTGGCTTCTCTGACTTCCCCAGAAGAGGTTCTTAAAACTTTTTTTTTAAAAACAGCCTTAGACTCTGACTCAAATACTCCTTTCAGCTTATTTTCTCCTGGAGATATTATCCTTTTGTTACAATGCCAGCTTTGAGCTTATTTCTAAAGTTGTATGCATATAAGTAATAGTACACCAAAGAAAAGCAGGGACTCGGTTAACACGTATGTCAGCGTGGTAGTTGCTTTGGGAAGCAATAGGGGATGTGAAGGCTCAGGGGCTCAAAATATGACAGTAGTCTTCCACCTCGTTAAGAAGTAATGGTGCGAATATGGGTGTTTGCTCGATTATTGTTGTTTAACCCGTACATGTAGATGTTTTATATTCTTATCGGTTATGAGACATTTAAACTTTTTGTTATAAGTATGAACAGGTAGAGTTTATCTCAGTAATATATGTCAACATAATAAAATCAAATGTTGCCAGGAAGTGGGGATGATGAGGAAGTCACTTCATTTGCTGAGTGGGTACCACATCCTTTGAGAGAGCATGTTTGTGGGCCTGGTAGAGGTCAGTACCAGCAGGCAAAGGGTTGAAAATAAGTTAGTAGATGTGGTAGATTCTATTATTGCTCCAAACATTGACTGCCACTCTCTGGGAGAAGATGGTATTTCCCACTCTACTAATGTCAGGTTTGAGACTGGAGTTCAAGCACAAGTGGCATGTGTCAGTTCTGAGTGGAATCTTAAAAGCATTCCATGGTTCTGCTGTCATGAGGCCAACATTCCACAAACAGGGACAACTCCTCAAGACTGGGTCCCAGCATTGCAGCTGACCAACAACAGATAATGATGAGAACAAGAAATAAGGCTGTGTTGTTATGAGCTGAGTTGCCTGGGGTTGTTCATTAGACCACGTGACAGCAGACTACTCTTCAGAGAGCTTCGAAGCAGCAAAGGAGAAAAACAGAAGTCTAAGGCCACAGAATGTGAGGAATGGATCTGGTTACTTTATATGAAGCCTAGGTATGTTGAGAGACATAGATGAATATTGGAGAGCGAATAAAAATACAAGTTAAAGAAGGGAATGGTAGACAATGTTGAGTGCATGCATAATGGAAAAGGTTAAGATTCAGGTCACAGAGCAGAGCATGGGCCTCAGAGATGAAGGATACAATGTTCTATCAGAGACTGTAACAAAGAAAGAAAACTGGTGAAAATAAAAGTGAAAGGAGGAAATCTGAGCAAGTACAAGGATGATGCTCCCAATTTCTTGAGAAAGGTATTGGTGAGGATAAATGCTAAGAGCGAAATGCAGGCAAAAAGTAAATAAAGCACTTAAGAGTGAAGTTGGTTACAATGGCATTTTTCACAAAACTAAAACAAATAATTTAAAAATGTATATGAAACCAAAAGACCCCAAATAATCAAAGCAATCTTGAAAAAGAAGAAAACTGTAGGCATCATGCTTCCTGGTGTCAGACTATACTACAAAGCTAAAGTAAACAAAACAGAATGGTATTAACATAAAAACAGAGGCACGGATCAATGGAAAGGAATGGAGAGTTCAGAATTAACCTGCACATACATGAACTATTAACTTATACCAAAGGAGCTAGGAACATACAATGGGGAAAGAATAGTCTCTTCAATAAATGGTGCTAAGAAAACTGGATAGCTACATGAAAAAGAATGAAACTAGACACTATCTTCCATCAAATACAAAAATTAATTCAAAATGGATTAAATACTTGAATGTAAGGCCCAAAACCATAAAGTTCCTAGAAAAAACACATAGGCAGTAAAATTCTTGATACGCCCCTCATCTTAGTGTGGTGTTTTTTTTTTGGGGGGGGGGATATGACTCCAAAGCCAAGGGAACAAAAGCAAAAATAAACAAATGGAATTACACTAAACTACGAAGCTTCTGTACAGCAAAAGAAACCATAAACAAGACTAAAAGTTTCCCTATTGAATGGGAAAAGATATTTGCAAATTATATCCAATAAGGGGTTAACATCCAAACTATATTTTTAAAAAACTCACATAACTCAACAACATAAAAACAAAAGTGTCAAATTATAAAATGGGCAGATGATATAAAGTTTCTGGGGTGTCCAACCTTCTGACACCTCTGTGCCACTCTGGAAGAAGACAAGTTGTCTTGGGCCACTCAGTAAATACACTGTGACACGTAATCCCAGAAAAATTGCATAATGTTTTAAGTAGATTTACAATTTTGTGTTGGGCTGCGTTCACAGCCATCCTGGGCTGCATGCGGTCCATGGGCCACAGGTTGGATGCCCCTGACAGACATTTTTCTAAAGAAAACATACAAATAAGAAGGCACATAAGAAGATGTTGGACATCACTAATTATCAGGGAAATGCAAATCAAAACCACAATGAGACATCACTTCACACCTGTTAGGGTGGCTCTGATCAAAAGGCTTCAAATAGTAAGTGTTGGAAAGGATGTGAAGAAAAGAGAACCCTTGTAAACTGGTGCAGCCACTATGAAAAACTGAATGGAGATTCCTCAAAAAGCTACAGTAAGATCTACCACATCACCCAGGTATTCCACTTCTGGATATTTGTCTGAAGATACAAAAACACTGATTCAAAAAGAGATATTCACCCCTAGGTTCACCGAAGCATTATTTACAATATTGAGACATGTGTCCAACAAGGAATAAATGATTAAAGAAGACATGATACACACATGCACGCACATGCAATGGAATACTACTCAGCCATAAAAAAGGAAATTTGCCATTTGCAACAACAGGGATGAACCTTGAGGGTGTTATGCCAAGTGAAGAAAGCGGACATACTAAGACACATATTGTATGATATTACTTATATGTGTAATCTAAAAAATGAAGAAATAAAGAAAACAAATTCGTGTATACAGAAAACAGACTTGTGTTTACTAGAGGGGATGGGTGTTGGAGAGGAGGTGAAATGGTTGAAGGGGATCAGCAGTGTGGTGATGGATGGGAACTAGACTTACTGTGGTGAACACTACATACTATATATAAATATCTAATTATAATATACTCTTGAAATTTACATATATACACAGGGTCCAGCACAGATAATGCCCCTTTTTTATTACAAACTATTTTATTACAAAATTAAAGCATATAATTCTGTACCACCACAATATCACACTCAAGCATACCATATAACATTTTAGGTGTTCAAAATAAAACTATAAATTATCACACCCACATCATTACCCTGCCAAGCATATTGAAGCAGGTGCTACTTCTGCTGGACCCTGTGTATATATGTTTTTCTATATCAATTTTACCACATTATAATTTTTTTAAAGAGTGAGGTTGCTTTTGAAGATCCAGCATACAGCCTACGTGCATGTTGGTACGACAGTCCCTGATTCTCAGTCAGTGCAATGTTCACCCAGCTACTGGCTAATAATCACGAAAGTTAGATAACTATAATTTAGTGTGTGTATACTGGCACACGCACACACACACACACACACACACACACACACGCCTTAGGACTATTCATCAGTATTTTGAGAAAATAAGTATAGCAAAGTAAAATATTTTCAAAGAAAATTAAAATAATTTTTCTAAATACTATACAGTGATTTGCCAATAATCATTAAAAATAAGCTTTAGTAAGATATTTTATGTAGTATATATTTTGTTACATTTAAGTTTCTGAATTTTCATAAATTAAATGTTAAAATATTTCTCACGTGTGATTGAAAGAGCAAGTTAAAAAAGTAATTTGAAAATGAGTAGAGTACAAATTAAATTCGATCACAAGACTAGGTGTATTTTTTATCAATTGTGCAATCAGTTACTGAACTGCTCAAATATTTGATTTCACATTCATTCAAGCTTATAATTACATTTATAAAAGTATTATATTTCCTTATGCAACTCATTCTGCCTTTTGATTTCCTTAAACTATTTTACTGTACATCTAGAAATTAAATAATGCAATGTAATGTCTGCTAAATTAATAAAAGAAAACTTGATTCCATAATCACCCTGGTAAAGACTGGTGCTAAGCTATTTGGAGCAGTAGTTGGATGAAATCTTCCCCTTCTCCATGTTTCAGATCTATTTCCCCTGGTGATTTTTCCCTCTGGGGGAGGAGACGGAGGAGGAATAGGCATCATGTAACTGTTAACGTTCAGAAGTTGATATCGACTCCTTCCCTGTGAATTGTCCATGGAGTTCCTGAACTTCATCACTGCCTTCTTGCCCTGTAATCACATTTCATGATATAAGAACCAGTGAATACAGAAGTGGTGACTCACTGTCACCCAAAATTAGAGACAAGGCTGTATGATTGACATTGCATGCAAACACAACTGATAAAAATAGGCAAACTCCACACACTCCAGTCTGTTTGAAGTATCCATAGCAAATGCAATTTTCATGAATTTCTAACCTTATCTAAACATATTTTTAAACCAAATATACAGTGATGGCATCTTTATAACACTTTTGGAATTTTCCCTCAACAACCCATTACATCTATGTATAATTAAACAACTTAGAGTTGAGAAGTTTGAAATGTTTATTTTGAAGCAGGTTTGAAGAGTCTACTTAACAATGGGGTGTTAGCACTTCCTTCATATTCATTCCACCCATCCGGGTGTTATAATATTCCTGGATAATATAATATTAAGGTACCAAATACAGACACTAAGCTAAGACTCTTTTCAGCTTATTTTTCCCCAGAAATTCAACTCATCCAAATAAAGCTACCCGAGATAACTACACAAGTACGCTGATATAAATGTAAGGATACGCACATGTAACAAATTTAGTTGAACTTTCAAGTCTATCAATAGGAGAATATTTAACCACATTTTGTTTTGTTTTTATAATAGATTCTCACCAGCTTCAAAAAGAATAGTGTAAATCTATTCATCCAGACATAAAAGGATCCATGTGGTGTAATCATACATTTCTTTTAAATAACATATATAACTTTGACAAAATTGAGGATAACTAGAAGATTTGAATGTAGGTTGTTATGGGGATTTGGATTATTGGGGAGGATATCGTTTTGCATTTTGTAAATCTTTGTGTTATTTGACAGTTTAATCAACACGTATTACCTCAATAATTAAAAAGTACCAAAAGTTATAATATGTTACATCTTTTAGTTATATTTGAGTCTTTAAATTTTTACAAGTTGTAATTTTTGTGTATCTGAGGTAGTTTTTCAAACTTTTAATCATTTAAAATCATTTTATACACTTTATATCCATTTATTTTTCTCTGCTTTTAAATCTTTTTTCAATTACAGTAGTTGACATACATTATTATATTAGTTTCAGATGTACACCCCAGTGATTTGACATTATAAAACTTACTAAGTATTATCTTGATAAATAGCATATCCATCTGACACCATACATAGTTTTTAGAATATTACTGGCTCTGTTCCCTATGCTGTACTTTACATCCCCACGACTATTCTGTAACTATCAATTTGTACTTCTAACCACTTTACCTTTTCCACCCACGCTCCCCCAACTCCTCTTCCATTTGGCAACTATCAAAGTGTTCTCTGTATCTATGAGTCCATTTCTGTTCTATTTGTTTTGGTTTTTAGATTCAATTGTTGATAGATAACATATTTATTGCTATTTTATTGTTCATAGTTTTAATCTTCTTCTCAAAGATCCTCTAATATTTCATATAATACTATTCTGGTGGTGATGAACTCTTTTAGCTTGTTCTTGTCTGGGAAGCTCTTTATCTGTCCTTCAATTGTAAATAGCTTCTCCTGGTAGAGTAATTTGGTTGTAGGTCCTTGCTTTTCTTAATTTTGACTATTTCTTGCCAATGCCTTTGGGTCTGCAAAGTTTCTGTTGAGAAATCAGCTGACAGTCTTAGAAAGGTGCCCTTATAGTTAACTGATATTCTCTTGCTTATAGATTTTCTCTTTGTCTTTAACCTTTTGAATTTTATGTGTCTTGGTGTGGGCCTCTTAGGGTTCATCTTTTTCACAACTCTGCACTTCCTGGACTTCAATGTTTATTTCCTTCACCAGTTTAGAGAAGTTTTCTGTCATTATGTTTTCAAATAGGTTTTCAATTTCTTGCTCTCTCTTCTCCTTCTGGCACCCCTATGATATGAATGCTGGTTCACTTGAAGTTGTCCCAGAGGCTCCTTACACTATCCTCATTTTTGGGATTCTTTTTTCTTTTGTTTCTTTTTTTTTTTGATTGGGTGGGGTTTTTTTGCTTCCTTATATTACAAATTGCTTATTTGATTCTCAGCTTTATCTATTCTACTGTTGATTCCCTGTAAATTAGTCTTCATTTCAGTAAGTGTATCCTTCATTTCCGATGGGTCCACTTTTATGCTGTTGAGGTTCTCATTAAGTTTATTGAGCATCTTATAACCAGTATTCAGAACTCTGCATCTAGTAGATTGCTTATCTCCATCCTGTTTAGGTTTTTTTTTCTGAAGTTTTGTTCTGTTCTTTCATTTGGGACAGGTTCCTCTGTCTCTTCATTTTAGCAGCTTCCCTTTATTTGTTTCTTTTGTATTAGATACAGCTGCTATGTCTCCTAGGCTTGGTGGAGTGGCCCAATGTAGTAGGTGTCATGTAGGGTCCAGTGACACAGCCTCCCCTATTACCCAAGGTAGGCACCCACATTGTATTCCCCTCCACATGGGCTGTGTACACCCCCCGCTTTTAAAAAGTTGAGCCTTGATTGCTGTTGTCACATCAATGAGAGGGATCTACCTTCAGGCTGATCAGCTACAAGTGTGGCTGCAACCACTGACCTCTGACCACTGTGGAGGATCAGCTGTGCAGGGGTACACCCCACAGAGCAGGACTAACTTCAATGGGGCTCTGGTATCGATTGAGTCTGCCCCTTAAGTGTGCCACTCACGGAGGTGGTTGGGCGGTGATGCTTTGATATGGTCTGAAGCTGTCCACTGGATGTGTTGCCTCTGGGGCTTCCCAGAACGTGTAGGCCAAGGTCACCTCTGTTGTGCCCCAAGCCACCTGAAATAACCTTCTAAGCAATCTGGAGATGGCTGCTGCTAGTGCTGTGCTTGGAGGTGCCCCAGCAAGGCAAAGCTGTGAACTAAGGCTGGTTGCTTCTAGTGTTGGGGTTGGAGCCACTTAGCGAGAGGTACAGGGCATGCTGAGGCCAGCTGCTGCCTGTTTGGAAGATTTTAGGAAAATCTGAAGCATGAGGCAAGATAGGCCATGTGTATGGAAAAGCCACTGGAAACAGTTTGGGTGGACATGAAAGTTGGCTGCGACAGAGCCTCAGAAAATCACCAACATGGAGCAAACAGTGTTAACCAGATTGATGAAGTCTCATGCATGGTGCCTGCTCTTTATACCAATTTATTTGGTATGGTTTTAAATTCATTTTCAGTTAACTTATTTTTTATTTCGAGAGGCTTAAGTAGTAAAAAGTTAATATTAAGAAAGGAAATTCATTCTCTAAACATTTTTCATTATGAATAAATAAAAGCAGGTGAAGTACAGGCATGTGTAGTACATATTTTGACTGAAGCCAACATTTATATGAACAGAGAAGGATTTAAATAAATATTCACCAGGTTATTTAGAATTATTAGAATGGTTCATATTGCAGGTGATATTTATATTCTCATTTTACTTTTTCTACATTTTCCCTTTGTCTGAGATGGTGTGCATTGATATTGCAATAAAATATAAAATAAAGAAATAAAAGTAATAAGAACAATAAAATGAATAAATGGAAAACTTTTAGAGCTTGGGGAATTATTTTTTAATTTCTAAGCAGTTGTCAGTCAAATGCATGCCTTATTTGGAAATGGTCTAATAGTTTTTTTAAAAAATTAACATTTTTAGCTCATAGCATCTTGAACATCTTTTCATACAGCTACAAATAATTCTACTGTATTATTGTAAACACACTTTAATATATTATAACACTTTAAAACAATAACCTATTAAATTTCCAGGTATCTTATAATTGTTTACTATTATAATAATAAATATTCTTGAATTTACTGCTTTCCACATACATATGTATTCCTAGGAAAAATCTCTACAGATTAAAATGCTTAAGCATGTTCATTTAAAATGGTGACAGATATTCCCATATTGCCTTCACAATAGTTGTACCAATTTCTGTTTCTGTCAATAGCATATGAGAAACTCTCATTCTAAGGATAATCATTTCCATCGAGTCATGATTTTTACTCAATTGCATTTCCACCAGCCTGTTTCTTTCCAAATTGCTTTTGCCTCAACCGAAGACCCTAACTCCTGATATCTAGAAAGATCAATCTGCTTACGTCTGTTGCACCTTCAAACAAGTCCCATGGGCAGGCCACACCTTTCTTTATTCTTTAGGAAAGCAGTACAAATTTATTGGGGGGACTACATCCTCATCAATCATGCAGACTACGATTCTTTAGGACTTTCTTGTCTGACTTTATATTAAATCACTTTTATTATCAATGCCATTGAAACACTATCTGTCTTTTCTGGCAGTATATTTTGTTTATGTACAGTATAGTATAAACTTTCAGTAAGTTACAGACTTTTGCTTGCCTTGATAATTTATATACAGATGCCTAGAACAGTACCTCAGTGGTAGTAAGTGCTTAATAAATATTTACTGCGTGAAAAGTCTAAGTTTAGTTAGTTTAAATTAATATGGGCTTGATCTCAATTTCGTCAGCCATGTAAGTTACCATTAAGTGCCTGCCCCTCAATCACTCACACTCCAAAACTTGAAAAGCAGAAAATATAAGGCCCCCCTGAATATTTTATCAGCAAATCCACTCAGTGTCTCAAGGAAGATTTGGAAAATCACCTGAAATAAAAAATCCCTTCCTAGCCCAACAGAACTTGAATATTATCTGATTGATAGTATTCACATATCTTATGGGAAAATGTATCTATCAAAGTATATGGTAAAATAATACTTAAAGGAGCTTAGAAAAAATATATAGTCACCTTGGCAAACATGGAAAGTGCCCATCCAAGTACTGTCTATGGGAGAGGATATACCACCCATTGGACTTTGAATATTTTCAGTCTTAGTGGCAAAGTTATTCTTAGAGCACACAGAGGGTTTCAGCCAGAGACCTTTGGGTTTTTAACAGATGGGTGTATCAAGTCATCTTAGCCTGAGGCCGTCAACATTCCGTTCTACCACATCTGCTCATTCTGGTTCCATGCTCGCCAGGCAACCTTCTCATTGTGACGCGGCTTCCTGGGTGGGTGGGACCTTTCCTACAAACTGCTATTATTTGATAGCTGTGGATTCCTGGTCCCTCATTATGATTTCACTCCACATGCTGGTTTGCTAGGCAGAGAAAAATTAGCTCAATAAATGAGTTATTTTCATTACCCTGAGACCATGTTTCAGAATCTGCCCATTTCTGAAACCAGCTGAAACAGGAAATGTCTGGGGCTAGTGCAGACCAGATCCTAGAAAGTACAAACCTAATTGATTTATGACCCAGTAAGTTCCCTTTTCTGGGGAAGCTTTAAGCAGACTTTCCCAGAAAATGTGCCACCACTTTTGATTTAATTTCCCCTGATTTCTGATAAACTACATTCTATTAAGTTATAATAAGGCTTGTAAGAAATGCTACATAAACCATATCAAATGCATTAAAACATTATCATTTTAGTTATATTTATACTTTTACTGTGAAAATTTATATGGATTAATTCCTTAGTGTTTGTCAGTGTTAGATAAAAATATCTTAATTTCATACATCTCATGTTTCCTAAAAAGGAATAGTACTAAATTTACCCATTTCAACCCATTACTATTTTGCCAATTACTATTGTATCATGATACAGTTGTACTATGATACTTAAGCTGGTAAATGTTTCTTCTCCATGTTAGAAATACAAGCAGTACACTCCCTAATTACTGAGTGTCTGAATTATATCTCCCTGTTTAATGAACTCATAAGTTAAGTTGCTGTACTTCCTTTCTGTGCTCTAGTAAAATTACTGAAAATTATCTGAGACATAACCTTGGAAAGGAAGCAGAATCAAGCTCTTGTTCATGATTAATTCAGCATTTTTTTAAAGATAGACATTCTTTTCCTTCTCTATCCAACATTCCGCAAAGTCAGACTTGAAGCAATTTCATACACTGATGGCAAAGTAAATCAGCATGCAAATTCAGCCCTATTCTTGGGTAAGTTTCATTTTCTAGGTTTCATGCATTTAAAATTTGGAAGCAGTCAACACTGGCTCTATTCTGATAGAAGTCATATCTGTCTATAAAAAGTTCTTCTTTGTTTTTCATACAACCCTTCAAATTAATGAGAGATCACCTTATATTATTACAAATCTATTACTTACTCTTTCTGCTCAATAACACAGAAATTATAGGCTATCCCATTAGAGTAAGATAATTAAATAGAACATCATAAGTGCCTAATAAGTGCACAATATAAATTTCACTGAGTAGATTGATTAAATCTAGCATCTTAAATACTGAAATAATCTAATATTCTAATCAAGAATAAATGATATGTCCTGAAAAAGTAATATTTACCACAATGGGGAATGGAGCATCATTTTCCAGTGGTGAGGTTTTTGATCTGAAACCTGAAGTTACCTTTGGAACAGTGCCTACTGCAGGATTACTGGGAAGAGGCTGCAATCGAATTGGAGGCTGCATAATTCCTGGGGCGGTGTATGGTCGAGGGGCTGTCTAGACAATTAAGGGAAAAAATCCACTTAAATTAGTATTTTGACACATTTCCAGAACCAATTAATAACTCAACAAATTGACTAGAGTAATTAATGGTGCCTTTTTACTGAACAGATTAAACTTTAATTATGTCCTTCCATTATGCATACCCTTATGACCCAAAGTATTTGTTAAAACATATGGCGTGGAAGTCCTCTACATAACTAAATGCCACAATTGCAGAGTATTCCAAACGATGGAGATGTTTGTTCTCTGTTAGGTTCCTGTATTTATTCATACCATAAACTCGCTGACGAGACCTAATTTATGCTGTGCACAGAATGACTTTGCTCAATTAAATGTTAAGTTGAATAATGTTCCTATTTTAGAGATCTAAAGAGATATGACTGGAATGGAATCAGTTTTATTTAAATGTTTTCAACATAAATTCTACTGAGAATCCTTTAAGTCTTCAGAATAGTGCTGAAATAAAGAACTGTGATTCAAAAAAGAGGAAAGGTGAGTGCCTAACTGTAATGCACTGCTATTTAGTCAACTTTTTCCTTGAAATGTTAGGAAAATAAAAAAAGAAAAATAGCTACTAGCAACTTTGAAAAACTGAAATTTTTTGGCAGGCTGGATATTTTCCACTGGTGCCTCTTCTCTGCCCTACCTGGTCTCTGGGACTCATTTCTTCATGGATTACACCAACTAACCAACCTCAGGATTCCAGCTAGATTTGGCCAGGGAAAGGCACTGGTAGGAGATCAAAAGAGGAGGAAATGAATGACATTGGGGTCTTAATTCTCCTGGTCCCTTCTTACCAACGTTGTCATGGACCAGCTAGGTCCCACCGTCAAAGTCCGCGGCTCTGTCAGGAAGCCGTCTGCTGGCTTACAAGCAGGAGAGGGGTTCTCCATGCAAACCCTCTCTCCCCTTCAGGCCAGGGTGGTATGGCTTCCTTCCCTGGGCTGACCCCAGCATGCCAAACATCTCTAGTTGTTTTTCCATAACCCTGCCTGAATCTTTGTAAATAGTTTCTTTATTAAACCCTTCCTAATTACCCTATTTGCGTGAGCCATCTGTTTCCTGCTGAGAGTCTGACTGATACACTTTCTAATCAAGAGTGCGCTGCAGAGAATAGCAAACGTGCCCGCATGGAGCATCAGCAGTGTCTTCTGTGGCACTGACAGAACATGTGAGGTTAGTACAAAGATCAACAAAGTTACAAAAGTAGAAAAAACAAGACTTCGGGCCCAGCTGTTCTATTATAATAAAATAGTAGAAAAGCCATTGAGAGTAATACATGCATATTTGGACAAGCAGGTGTGAGGAGGGTAGAATATAAATGACTCACAGTAAGTGAGGTGATGTGGTCAGGTTTACTACATTGACTCTAAAGAATGGTGAACAAAATGTTCACTTCTACAAAAGTGTAAATTCATAAAAAATGACAGGGCAGCTTCCACCACCAAATGTTGTCTCTGGTTTTAGTAAGTCAATATGTATTGGATTCCAATTATAAGCACTATGAGGAGATTAAAAAGTAATTTGTAACGTCTAATGGTGACACAAGACAATAGTGCCAAATGAACCACACAAACACTGCCAAACATAAAATACAATAAAATACCTGAGAACTAAGAGCACTTAGATCTACAGTTGAGAAAAGCCAGTGAGACTGAAAAATTAAAATTTCACAGAAGCAGGTTTAATTTACCCAAATGGATGAGCAACAGAAGAAAATGGAGAAGCAGAGACAAGGAAGGATAAATCGGAACATCCGAACGAGAAGAGAACACAGGTAGTAGCCCTCGGTATCTGCCTTCCTTTCTTCACTAGTAGTAGAACTTTGCAGGAAGCATGGCTGCATTTTCCTAGCATCTCTGGCAATTCTCTAGAGATAGATTCCTCAGTTCAGACTGAAAAGCTGGGAGTGGAAGTGATACATGAAACTTGCGGGTCATGTGCTCAGAGAGGAGTCTGAGTTTTCGAGGACTCTCTGGAGTAGAGATGGCACAGCAGTTGGGTTCATGTATGTGTACTGGGGTTGGGAGGACATCCTTATGTTCACTGCACACAGACCTATGTCCTGACCAAGACCGGAAACCAAGTGGATTGACTACAACAGCACTCGATTTCATGAAACAGAATGTAAGCCTGTGTAAGCCCCTAAAAGAAAGGTTGTAAAACCCACAAAGAAAAAATGAAGAGGTTTCTGAACAAGGAAATCAGATCATCCAAAAGAATTCCTCTGAACTCTGTAAAACAAACATGCTTTAAGACTTTCTCCTGTCACATAATCCAACTGAACACAAAGCATTGAGAATCTAATGTAGGAATTCAAAAGAGCAGGTTACTATAAACTAGAACATGATCAATTGGCTGTTGTGCTCTAAATTTTATTTCTGCACATTTGCATACAGATATTCAGCTAGATGAATGTGGCAGTCAAATGTTTAACTGATTACATTTATCTCTAAAAACAAATCTGCACCATTCAGCTAACAGCTGTGAGCTACAAACTGTTGTAGTTCACATCAAAAGTCACCTTAAATTTGCTACATTTTAAATTGCTCATAATATATTTTCTTGGAATAAATATGTCACTATAGCTTAACATTTTCAAATCTGTACCAGAATGTGAATTGAAATTGACTACCTGGTGATTATTCAGCTTAGCTGAGCATTTCTAATTCTTAGTGGATGATCTCCAGGGGTGAATTTTCCAAGCCTGTGCAGAATTAGTGGAATGGCTTTCCAGAGTTTCAGTGGGAACAATGCAGCTAAAAGCCTATGTGGTATTTTGAAAATCTAGGTGCAATTAATGACCAATGCAATAACTAACTACCCACTGGATACTTCCCTTATTCACTCAAGAAAGTTAAAAGAGAAAAATGGATGGCAATATCCCAAAAGGATTATTATCTTCATCTCAAAGGCACTTCAAGGTCAAGAGTCAAATGCAAAGGATAGGTACCCAGGTGGAGAAAATAAAGAGGAGGACTTGAATGTCTGTAGAATGGGAACTACAATTCCGAGACCACAATAGCTATTCTTTCCAGTGCAGAAGCACCGTAGGGGTGACCAAGGGAAGAATTGCAGCTTACCAGATAGAAAGGCTTCTGAAGTGCTGGTGTCAGTGTTTCCTGTAATTTTTAAATTACTTTCTCATTCCTGCCACATTAAGATCTCCTGGATGTATCATAAACTACTTATTGAGGGTGTTCAGCTGGAAAATTGAAAAGAAAGCCTTTCAAGGGTTTTTCCTCTCTGAAACAGGTGGGAAGATAGAAAACAGCACTTGATTGTTTCTTTTGTTTCGCCCAGTTTACGCTTTTGAGAGTCTAGTAAATTTGCCACATTAAAAAAAAGAATAATTTGTGTACATATACATTTAAATGAAGCCTGGAAATATGGTAACAATAAGAAAGGGAAGGCAGTTCCTTTTCATAACTTAAGCTCTTCACCCAGAAATGTCAAAACATATTTACCTTTTGAAGAATGTCAAATCTTAGCACTATGTGTGATGAACCTGCTTCAACCATCTGTGAAAGCACTGTGATTTCTCTATAAACATTGCACAACCCAAAAAAGTGTTCACGCTAACAAGGAAATATACCAAGCTACACAAAGCGAGAATAAAGACTAATCAAGCAATCCATTTACAACTGAAACCATCAACCTCCAGCAAATATTTTACAAATCTTTTTCTTCTATCTACATTGTTCAAGCTACCTTACCTTCCTTCAAGCAAATACCACCTCTAGGTTATAAATGAATCAAACTGGAAGGAGAGGTCAGTGTGCAATTTTTTTAAATAGAATTTCTTCATATTTAATTATTTTTTATTTTAAGAGGATGTGCACACAGTTTTGATAAATGAAGCACAAATATAAGTATCTGGCCCCAAATGCTATAGAGTGCCACTCAATTTGTGCGCATAAATAAGCTCTACAAGCAAGGTGAGAGAGGAGGGAACATTAAGAGCAAAGTGCAGAGATCAAAAAAATAGAACACAAATATGTAACAACTAGGGGTTCAGTTTTGCTGCATTGTAGAATGCTAAAGGGTAATTGTGGGAACAGCGACATTGAGTTCATATGGTTCAGGGTCTTAAATGTCAGGTAAGTGATTTTCTACAGGTGACACAAAGCAAGTGAAGGTGTTTCAGCATGTAGATAACATAAGTAACCTGTACTTAAAGCCAGTGGTCCCCAACCTTTTTGGCACCAGGTACCAGATTTGTGGAGGACAATTTTTCCACAGACAGCCTGGAGGGGTGGCGGGGACATGGAAAGGCAGGCCTGGCAGGTCCACATGTTTGAGAAGCATCTGCTTGTTTGCCCCCACACACACACAGAGCTGAGCTCAGATGGTAAAGTGAGCAAAGCTTTGCTTGCTCACAAGCTGCTCACCCGCTGTGTGGCCAAGTTCCTAACAGGCCACAAAATGGTACCGATCTGCACCCAAGAGTTGGAGACCCCGGCTTAAAGCTCCTTAATTGAGCAATAACAACCAAAATGCATTCAACGGGGGAGATACTGATTAAAGGCATAGCATTCAATAGAGACAGAGTGGAATAGATATAATACTATGTTTTTATTCAGTAGAATTCTTAGGATTATGCAGACATGTACCCAGAGATCATTCTTTCTTATAATTTATAAGAAATCATAAATTAATTACTTGGGATGGTGCATGACAGTGTGAAATATGACTCACCAGTGTTATTGGACTAGAAGGTCCATCCTCAACCAGCACACTGTGGCCACGGTTTGTCTTTGGGCACCCTGGGGGGTGGGGAGACAGGACCGGCATGTTTTTTTCTATAGACCATTTTATGGGCTCTCCCTAGAACAAGACAGTCATGTAACAAATTGATGCACAGTTAGTAATCTAGGTCAGGTTAGTGCCTACCAAGTAAAAAAGTACTACATGACTAAAGAGGTCTTTTGTCATTACTTTCAAAGTGTTCCTTCTCAGGCCTACCATGATAGTCAGAAAACATTGCCACAGCTGTGCTGTTTGGGTGTGGTAGTGAAAGGCAGGAAACGGAGTGTGCTTTATTCAAAGAATAACTGTACTCAAAGAAATAGCTACAGGGGCAGTGTATCTTCAGTTTTAACAAAAATATTTATTAATCAGCTTTCAGCAGATCACTACAAGAGGCATAGTATTCCACATTACTCTGATCAGTAAAAAATACCAGAAAGTATTTCTTTTCTACCTTAAAAACAATCGTTAAATAATGACCTAAGCGAAAGTGTTGCATACTACATGAAAGAGGCCAAAACTAGGTCTTTCCCTAAGTGCAACTACGAAGTGAAAACTGTTACAAACTAAAAGCATACAGGGAGGAACTGCAGTGTCTATTACAAATCTGCTAATTCTGCAGTGGGCTCATGTATCCTGTTAGTGTGTCTGGTGTGGCATCCACCAACGGGAGCGACAAATGGTGGGAAGCTTTCAGGAGTTTAAGATGGAACTTTATTGGCCAAAGCTTTACCTGCACAGGGGCGAACTCCCGGGGTGTCCGGAGACACGGTGCCAAGAGGCTGCAAATGAGAGTCGCGCCTGGCGCTTACAGCCTAGGGTTTTTATTGGGGTCAGCAAGCAAGCAAATACAGAAGCAGACGTAGCTGTTAGCAATTGGCTATCTCGAGAGAACACACATGGCTATGTTCTCTGCTTGCAACAATGGATACTTTTCTGCAAAGACAAGGTCATGCACAGGCGGTTATCTTGTTCAGCACTCTTTGTACTTTCTGTACTTTCTATCTTCCTTGCTGAGTCAGTCTGGAGCCTGCCTCGGGTTTCTCTTGGCTACTTTTATCTAATTCCGGGCCTAACACTGGCACCCTGGGCGCGAGCAGACTGCACATGGCTTCAGGCAGCGCTAGTCACTCTCTATTTCCAGTGACCATCCTTCTCCATCAACACTTCAGCAATAAATACAGAATCTATAACTCAGTCCTTAATGTAGGACAATATTGGCCAAGTTGAATTAACCACAAATCTCTCCAGACTAACTCTTCTGATCTTGAAAAACTGACCTGTCTTCTGTTATTTAACAACACTTTTATAACAAGATTATCTTTTGACCATGATAAAATAGACATATGTGAGTCTATCAGGCCAGAGGGGAAAATTACTGCCTTAGATGGCAAGTTATACTACAGAAGCTTTACAAATATTCATCAGTTTGTGAAATGTGTCTTAGGCCTCACATTTGTAGTATGACACAGAATATAGAGAAAAACATGTGCATTGGAATGGCTCAAAGAACTGAATAAAACTGCCAACCTAAACCGAAACCTTTCAGACATGCCTAATGCAATACTGGTCTTGAGTCAAATGTACGTACTTCATGTGTTCCCTTCAAAGAAGGATGTCAAATACAAAATTAAAAAAACAAACAGGGAATTTTGAAATGCCTCATGCAAAATGCCTAAATCTTATGCTTTTGTTTGTGTGCTAAGGTAGATTTTTTTCCTACCACATATTCTCACGGGACACATGTGAAAATGTGCCATTGGATAATTCTTCAAAGGCCCTGCTTTCCATCAGCTGGGGAACGTAACCATCACTTTTATTCTCTTAAGAAAAAAAAAATCCTCCAGCCTCCATCACATATCAGTCAAGAAAATACAAAAGCAAAATTTCAAACTTGAGAAGAATGTTTTCAGGCTTTTCTTGGAAAGGTTTATGACTTATACATTTATTTTGCACCGGCAGCTCCTCTGTTGCCATGATCCTCTATAATGGCAGGGGCCAAGATGTAGGCAGAGCGAAACCAGCACTTGACCTCAGCTATGAGTTACCCCAGAGGAAAGTGCCCCAAGGAACTTCAATATCAGCACCACTGGCTTTCAAAATCATAAAATAACATTACAAAATAAAAGAGACTTATGTAGCTTCTTACCTTAAATCTCTGAATTCGCTCCTTTTTAGCTAAGGTCTCTAGCTTCTTTTTAATTTCAAGCTGATGGTAACGCTGAGCATACAAGAAAGAATGGGGGAGAGATTCATATCAATTACAGCAACAAGTTGTTTAGAGAAAAAGAATCCTCCCAGCTAACTGTATTCTCAATTACCCCTCCTGTCACTGAGATGGAGAAGAGTCACCTGCTTTAGTGTGCGAGTGGGAATATAAAGTGGTACAACTCTTTGGAAAGCCAATATAGCATCTACCAGACAGTTAAAAGTGTCCCTACCCTTTAACCAGGAAATTTTACATCTAAATTTATGAGGAAATATGATTTTTTTAAAATTTTTTATTGATTATGCTATTACAGTTGTTCTATTCCCCCCTTTCATTCCCCTACACCCTACCCCCCAACCCCACCATTACCCCCCTTTAGTTTATGACCACGTGTCTCAAGTCCTTTAGATTCTATATTTCCCACGCTATTCTTGCCCCCCCATCTATTTTCTATCTACTGTCTGTGCTACTTATTTTCTGTACCTTCTCTCCCCTTCTCCTCCTCCCACTCCCCTGTTGCTAAACCTCCTTGTGATCTTCATTTCTATGTTTCCACTCCTGATCTAGCTGTCCTTTTAGTTTGCTTTTGTTTGAGGTGTGGTTGTTAATAACTGTGAGTTTGTTGTCCTTTCACTGTTCATGTTTCTTTAACTTCTTTTTCTTAGGTAAGTCCCTTTAACATTTCATATAATAAGGGCTTGGTGATGATGAACTCCTTGAATTTGATCTTATCTGAGAAGCACTTTATCTGTGATTTTTAAATAAAAAATGTGTTAAGCATGACAGTCCTGTCTAAAAGGTGTATTTGTTCTTGGTAGTGTTCTCTTCAAAGCAAAAAATTCAGAAGCCCAACAAACCTTAAAAGAATAGTGAAATTTTTGGTACATCTATATAATGGAGTAGAATATAATCATTAAAATAAAATGATGGAACAGAGTTAATCATTAAAATAGGGTTCATAAAGATTTTGTTTTAAGAAATGGAAACTACAGCCCTGGCTGGTGTAGCTCAGTGGATTGAGTACTGGCCTGTGAACCAAAGGAATGGTTCAATTCCCAGTTGGGGCACATGCCTGGGTTGCAGGCCAAGTCCCCAGTTGGGGACAAATTGATGGTTTTCTCTCTCTCTCTTTCTCTTTCCCTTCCCCTCTCTCTAAAAATAAATAAATAACTTTTTTAAATTAAAAAAAATGGAAAATCCAGAAAAAAAGGATAGAGAATTGCACAGAAATGCAATTTTAATGCATCAAGTTTATGTTGTGTGCCTGTCCCCATGCTAGGCACATGTTCTGTGTTCACCATCTCTCCCTGAACAACTGTAACTGCTATCTTATTTTACAATGAATAAACTGAGACAGAGGACCATGAATTCACTCCCAGGTCACACATCTCATCAGTGGTTGAACTTTGTTCTCTCTGACATTGGCTTTCTATTTGTTTTTGTTAGTTTGGTTTTTCTGCACAAACCCATGTTTCTCTCAAAACACAGCATGCTTTTTATTAATGTATAATATGAAGACTAAAAGCAAATATGAGTATGTGAACAGCAGTTGTCTGTGAGAGGAGACATATTTCCTTTTTAATACTTCATTGTCTTTTCCAAATTTTCTATAATGTATTATCATATAATTGAAAAATAAAAATCTCATAAAAATAATCTGCTTATGACTCTGGTGGAAATCCCTCAGGCACACTGCAGGGCACCTTAAAGGGTACTTCCCCTCTGCTGCAGAGCAGCTCCCGCTGCCCTGGACCCTGCAGAGGCAACCCTCCCTGGCTAACCACCAGCACACTCCCTTTCTTCTCTCGCCCTTTCCAGCTCTCTCACCTACTTTCCACCAAGCTTTATGAGAGTCAGTATTAACCAACTCCCATCTTCTATTTATTCCTCACTCACCACAGTCACCCACTCCCACCACCCCTGCTCTTCCCCATCGCTGGAACTACTTCCACCAAGGCCACCAACGTCTTTGTCCCCCCAGGTCAAACCTCATTGCTTTTGTCCCAGTACTCATCTTACTCAACCACTCTGCCACTCTCGAGAACCTCCTGCTTCCAGAGCACTACGCCATGAGGCACATTTTCCCATCACCTGCGGGTTCCTTTCCAGCCTATTTTGTTGCTCCTGATCTGCAGTGTACTCAGCACCCGCCACGCTGGAGACCTCCGAGTTCCTCTGGGCTCCTTCCCCTCCACCCTCCGCACTCAGTCAGTGCCAGGCTCTCTCCCTGCCCCCGTCTCCGTGGACAGCTGCGTCTCCCCAGCGCTTCCACTCCCGCTGCCAGCCCACGCCCTTTGGCAACAGCTTCCTAATTGACCTCCCACCTCCAATCTTTTCCAGCTCATTAATCCATCTTCCACATTTTTAGCAACATCATCTTTCTAAAACAGATCTGCTCATTTGTTTCACTCCCCTGCTAAACAATGTTTCATTACCTCATTGTCTACACCCCAGACCGAGTTTGCAGTTGCAGGCCCTCCAGAAACTGGGCGCCGACTTAGCGGAGAGCGCCCCTTCCGGCCACTCTTTTAACCACCCCACTGTGCTGTCTGGCCTCAGGGAGCTTTCCTTTCCACCCACTATGTCCTCTGAAACGCCTTTCTCATGTTTTCGTGTGGTGTCTCACTCAGCTTCCAAGATCCAGTTCAAAGAGCAGGACCTCTGGGCAGCTTCTGCTGACTCTCTCAGACGCAAGGCACCAATCCCTTCTGTTCTGAACTCTGTTCCTTTCTTCTATCATTTGATCGCTTTCTACAGTATTTTCTTAAAATTGTATCTCACAGCTATACATCAATCACATAGCTTCATAATGGTACATAGTAAGCCTGCAGTTAATGTCTGTTGTATGAATGAATTCATGAATAGTAATATAACTACATTAGTAAACATCATCAGCCTAAACTAAATGTGAGGTGAATGTGGCAATTTAGAGATATTCTATTTGTTCATTAATTTATATATTATAACTATAGATTATATATTACATTTCACCACTTATCTATGATATTCATTCCAAACTTTAAGAATACACAAAGATGCTTAAGTTACAGCATATTTATCCAGCATAATATGTGAGTTATATGAAAGTTTGGAAAACCAAACTTCAAGGATCTAGACTAATATAGAACTAGGTGCCTGCTGATTTAGTTTGAATCTAAGTATAGACTAATTTTACACTGTACTATTTTTTAACCTTAGTTATGGAATTGCAACTAATACTTTTCTAAGCAAGTGAATTTGGGGGTCCCTAATAATGATTCTATGTAACTCATATAAGCACAAAAATGAATTCCTAAGTTAACAGGTCATATACACCTTGAATGAACACAACACTTGCTCAATATCATGGCAGCATAATTTTTAGTGGCACTAAACAGCATTGGTTTACTGATGATTCCACAGTTGTTTATAAGTGTTTACTGCACCCACAGGTCATGGTGTTATGAGCCAAGTTTTCTGATTTATTGCTGTATGTTCAAGCCAAGAAGTGACATGCTTTTTCACAGAGATTAAAATGGTGTTGATGCTTGAAACTACAAATTTCATGGAGCAAGGCTAAAATAATTTATCAAGCCAGCTAGATATCCTACTAAAAATGCCATGTCAGATTTTTTAAAAAGTTGTTGATGCTTGGATTGTAAATCCATGCTGACCAATGTAGCCTAAAGGAGGAGGGACAGCAGATGTTTCAGGGCCTATTCCTTGCAATTTAGCACACGGCGGAGCTTCGGAGCCCGAAAAGAATAACAAATCTGAAATAATTCATGGCAGTGGAATTACTGATATTTAAACAGATGTCACTTTCTTTAGCAAATGGAAATTGAGGTGCAGATGGTGAGGACTGCTATGGTTTAGAGTAGCCATTATGGATTAAAATCTACATTTGTTAAATTAAATATCACAAAACATATAACGGTGTCCATATTTTTCTCCGACTGAAAAGGAGAAAAGCTTACTTTGGTCTGTTGCCGCTTTGCTACCTAGAGAGATAGAGAGCATTTCTCAGGCCACCTTCTTCCATTCTTTTTAAATGAAATACAGGGAGAATACACCTGCCTGTCTCTGGATACAGAAGTATTGTTTAATGATCATATTAGAAAATATCAGTTATAAAGAAAACAGTAAATGTTTGTACCTCCATATCAAGAACCTTGTGGAAAATAGCCTGGGCTAAGCACTCCCGGATATATCTTTGGTGATCCCTCTTCATGATATTTAGTTTGTACTCTTTTTCCGAAAGTATTCTTCCACTTCTTGTGATCTGTCATGAATAAATAAAGCACCCAGAGAAATACAAAGCAGAAACTGTATTGTTAGTCACTAAAAAAGGAGGGAGAGAGAGAGGTAGAGTGTCCTAAGCCTAAAGGAGTATGCTACTGTGGTTGCTAAACCTTCACTTTTAATAAATATTTCATAAGTCATAAGAAGAGAAAGGCAGTCTTATAGATCCATCACTGTGCAAACGCACACAGGTGGTGCACTTGTTTTAAGCAAGGTTTTCATCAGAGTAGCGATTTTCCCTTGATGGAACCCAGGTGTTCTTCTCATTTCTCGTTTTGCGGCCTTTCCGGAGGAAGGGGTGGGTTGCCGCCTTGAAACAGTAAATAGGAGCACTGATCACAGGACTGATGATTCCCAGGAAATAGACTTTGAAGGGCAAAACATGTAAGCTACAGAGGCTCTCATCAGTTTGTTTTTAAAATAATTGGCTTCATTACTTTGTTTTCACACTGCTTTTTTCTCCTTCCTTCACTCTCCAGCCCGGAATGTAATTTAATGTGTTGTGATTCAGATTTCTTTTTTAGATTATGCAGTGCTGCAAACATAAAGTAATCCAGATTGCTTTCGACCGCCATCCCTGTAAGTCCCAGGGTATTTTCTGTTTTCTATCTACAGCGGACCCTGGACAATCTGGGGTTTAGCAGGTACCCACCTCCACGCAGTCAAATATCTGCATGTAACTTTTGAGTCCTCAGAAACTTAGCTGTCTGTCAGTATCTGTGGGAAATCGGTACCAAGATGCCTGATGATACAAAAACCCATGCTCAAGGATGCTCGAGTCCCCTATGTAAAATGGCATAAATCAATGCATACCATTGGCGTTCAGCATGTGCAGATCAAAAATAATACAGGTTTTTATCGGGAAAGAATCCACATAACAGTGGGCCCATGCAGTTCAAACCTGTTATGTGTTATTTAAGGGTCAACTGTACCTGTTTTCCTTTTCTTTTCATCTTCCCTATGAGAACACTTTTTGTATCTTTATATATACAGGTGTCGTTTTTCCTTGAGTTGGAAAAACCAGCCTAGCAGTTGTCTGATCTCTCCAACTAAACTAGGAGTTCCTATAGGGCAAAAGGTCCGCAACTTGAGATTGCGTCAGACTCACGTAGAAGGCAACTTGAAAAAACACGTTGGAATTTTGCTGGGGATTACATTAAATCGGTATATTGCTTTGGGCAATATGGCCATTTTAAATTGGTACAGCCACTATGGAAAAACAGTATGGACATTTCTCAAAAAATTAAAAATGGCATTACCCTATGACCCAACAACCCCTCTCATGGGTAACGAACCAAAAAATTTGAAAACACTTATTTGGAAAGGTACAGGCACCTCTGCAAGCAGGTGTGGCCAGCAGTGTAGGCTCAGTGTGTGGGTGTGGGGTGAGCTGGGGCAACTTGTCCTCCCAGCAATAGCAACCAGGAGACCTTCAGGGGCAAAGCACTGAAATCTCACCAATCTGGAGCCCTATCGGCCACCACATTCCCCTGGGACTGGATCGCAGGGGAGCAGGGAGGCACGCACCTTCCTAGGATATACAGGCCACTTTCTACCACCCCACGGAGGACTAAGAAAGCCGGAGAGGTGCAAGAGGGTTTTAAAAAACAAACTCGTGATTCAGCACCATGTACTGGAAAACAACAGAAAGACTTCTTACCAATCTACTTGAGAAATGCCATGCATATATAGATGCCTAAAGAGAGAAGGAACCCATTGAATACCACACATAACCAATGTAATGAAAGCTGCAGTTCAGAAAGAAAAGGAAAAATCTCCAGAAAATAAACAAAGATATGGAAATGTGTGATTTAAATGACAGAGAATTCAAGAATACAGTTATGAAAAAACTTAACAAGATACAAAAACCACAGATAGGCAGTTTAATAAAACTCAGAAACCTAGTCCATGAACAAAATGAGTACTTTACCAAAGACAGTGAAACTTTAGAGAAGAACCAAATAGAAATTCTGGAGATGAAGAACTCAATCAAAGTTATCACGAATGAACTAGCAAGCATAGGAAACAGAGCTGACCAGATTGGGGAAAGAATAAGTGACATTGAAGATAAAAATCTAGAAGTGACACAGACAGAAAAAGAGAGACTTGAGAAGAAAAAATACGAAAGAACTCTCTACGAGAACTAACTGACTCTATCCGAAAGAGCAATCCGAGAACCAGCGGCACACGAGGAGAGGAAGAGAGGGAGGAGGGAATGGAGAGCGCATTCAAACAAAGAGTTGAAGAGAACTTCCCAAACTCTGGGAAGAGCTAGATCCTCAAATCCAAGAAGCCAACAGAACACCTAATTACCCGGATACAAAAATGACCTCTTATAGACACACTGTATTAAAACAAAAATTAATGACAAAGAACTCTCCAGGCGGCCATGGAAGAGAAGAAAGCCACCTATAAACAGAAGCCCACCAGGTTATCATCAGACCTCTCAGCAGAAACTCTGCAAGCCAGAAGAGAGTAGAACCAAATATTTAAACTACTGAAAGAGAGCAATTACCAGCCAAGAACAATATATCCAGCAAAGCTATTCTCTAGACATAAAGAAGAAATTAAGGTGTTTTCAAGCATACAGAAGCTGGGGGAATTTATCACCAGAAGACTTGCATCGTAGAAAATACTCAAGGGGGTTATTCTACCTGAAACAAAGAACAAAAGGTCACAAAAGTACAAGTAAGATCACCAACCAACTTACAACACAAACAGGGATAATTTGTGACAACAAAACCATGAAATGAATGGGAGGGAGTAAGGTCTGAGTTTGTAAAGGAGACAAAAACATACAGTGGAGAAAAGAAATCCTCTTCAGTAAATGGTGCTGGAAGAACTGGAAAGCCACATGCAAAAGAATGAAATTAGACTACACTTTATCCCCCTGTACAAAAATTAATTCAGAATGGATTGAGACTTAATTATAAGATATAAAAAATAAATTACATAGAAGAAGACATAGGTACTAAACTCATGAACTTCAGTCTTAGAGAAGATTTTTATGAATTTGACCCCAAAGACCAGGGAAGTAAGAGCAAAACTAAATGGAACTATATCAAATCAAGTGCTCCTGTTCAGCAAAAGAAACAGACAACAAAACAAAAAGGCAACCAACCGAGTAAGAAAAGATATTTGCAAACCACTCCAACGAGAACTCATAAACCTAACACCAAGCAAACACACAATCCCATTAAAAAATAGGCAGAGGACCAGAACAGACACTTCTCCCAAGATGACATACAAATTCCCCAGACATATGAAAAAATGCCCGTCTTCACTAGCCCTAAGGAAAAATGAAATACTGCCATTTGCTACAACATAGATGGACCTTGAGAACATTATGCTAAGCAAAACAAGTCCATCACAAAAAGCCATATGACTTCATTCATATGCGAGACATAAAACTGACACTCCTAGACAACAGGTTGTTACCAGAGGGCAGGGGGATGGGTAGTAAAGGGTAAAGGGGCCAAATATATAGTGATGGAAGATGATTTGACTCTGCATGTGGGCACACAATGCAATATATGGATCATGTATCAGAGAAATATACACTTGAAACCTATATAACCTTATTATCCCATGTTACCCCCAATATTTTAAAGTAAAATTTGAAAAAACTAAAATTAATTGATCGGTCTCACCCCATAGTCTCTGACTAATAGGTCTGGGGTGGAGCTTTAAAATTTTCTTTTTCTAATAAGTTCCCAGGTAACACTGAACACTGCTCATTCGGGAACTATAACAGAAAGACTACTCTAGAGAAAGAGCTGTATCTTCCTCATTTGAGTTGCCATGCACATAAACCAATGTTCAATTAAGTGTTTGTTAATGATGTTGATAAGTAAATGCAAAGTTCTTCCTATTTACACATGAAGCTCGTATTTTGTTATCCAAAGAAGTAATGTCCTTATGTAACCACAGTAATTACAACAACCATTTATTAAACATTTCTAATTGACACAACAAATCAGAGGGCTGGGAATCATTATCTTTATTGTACAGTTGAGAAAGGTGGAGCTCAGACTCCAACTGTCTCCATTGTAATGATTTCTCCAGTTACATGATTTGCTCAAGAGTCTATGTCTTGTAAATGACAGAGCCTACTTTCAGCCAGGTCTGCCCGGTAACAAAGCCGTGGGAGACAGAAAGCTAGCCGCTGTGAGAACTACCCAGCCAGAGTGCCAAGCATATAAACAATTAGAAACGCAGTGCGTATCCTTTCAACACCATAGCAACGAGCGTTAAAGGAAACTGGCTGTGTTTTAAGAAGGTAAGCAACAAAACTAGTCACACTTTCTATAACTACACCCATTTCTGCCATGAATGAAAAGCTGTAGTATTTTTAAGAGCTTTCACATTACATTTAAAGGAATAAACTTTTGTAGAAATGATAGTTTGGAGCTAGCAAGATACATTAATGTAGCAATAAACTATCCCAGAAAATGAAACTTTTTAAAAATCCAAAGAGAAATTTTGAACTGTTTATGTCTTGCACACCAGATTCTGTGATTACTAAAAGCAATATATATATTTTCCTAAAGACAGTAAAGTCCTTTCTATCCTTAATCCTCAATATCCTTGGTCCATAAACTGTGTTCAGTAAATACATTGACTAAATGAATGAATAGGCAAAGAAGTGAAATATGATGTTGGAAACTCGGGGTTTTTCCTCAATAATTTATAAGTTGCCTTAGTAGTCACTGGGCCCTGCTTGCCTCTCTTCTGAAACACAGCCTCGAAAGGACAAATCGGAGCTTTGGAAAGGAGGCAGTTTTTCTGAAACGGAGGTCGGGGGAGATGGCACTAATTAGTTCGGAGAGAAAACCAAAAAAGGGAAAGAATTATGGACTTAGTGAAAGAAAAGAGCAGGCGGAAAGGAAACCAGTCTTACCAGCCCTGATCTCAGGAGATGCCGCCTTATCCTTGTGTTGTTAAAATATCCGGCCAGGTGTTTGTCGGTAAGACTATTATACGCTGCCAGTAGTCTGAAACAGAAAAGGAAACCATGAAGGTTTTATGAAGGGCAAGGCAACTTCATAACCAAGGCAACTCTTGACTTTCTCCTCCCCAAACTGCCCATGACCTTGTTCAGCCAGCCAGCCATTCATGGGCATGTTTAATAAACGGGTACTATTGAGGATCTCATAGGTTTTATGTTTTCTAGGTTTTATGAAAGGACTGGGAGGTAGTCCTGACATTGTTTATCCTGAAGAAAAGTATGAAAACCAGATATGAACAATTAAAGTGGTGTAAAGAAATCCAACAATAGAAATGTGTAAAAAGTCCTGGGGATGTGGAGCAGGAGAGCACCAGTCGTCAGGAATGTCTCCAGGGAGGAAGTCTGATGGAAAGGGTGAGGGTCCTTCAGGGGACATTTCACTCTCCTGCTACACCCTACGCACTAACTCAAACTCACCTGCACTTCCTCAACATGTCTGTTCATGTCCTCAGGACACAGTGCACAGTCCCTCCACTGCAAAGGACTGTCCCCCCCCCTGCTGGCTAGTGGCCAGTACCTGTGATGCAAAAGCATCCGTCCTCCCAGGAAACATTTCCTGACACAGTCTGGCTGTGCTGCGGTACCTTCCACTCCACTTCTCTAGGCCCTTGAGTTGCATTACACGTCACACCATGCGTTACTCTTACTTCTCAGTCGCTTCTGAGACTAGATTTCAAGGTCGGGTGGTGCATTATCCTTGGCATCCCTATCATGATGTGTTCAATAAATGAAGGCACAATGTTGTTTGGGACCCATTCTTACTGGTATAAATTTCTCTCTAAGTTTAAGCTCAGCAGTTTAGAAGGTTTAGCTTCCTTATATGTATCTAGAAATTTCTCATTCAGAACCAAAAAAAATCACTGATTACTTAGGATTTTTAGGGTCTTTTATTTTAAGAGTTAATAGGGGACAAACCGATTCCTTGATTATAAGCTACATAGTATTACTTGACAAAAGTACATACACACATATGCACATCTGTATACATGCATGCAAATATGTATGTTCATATACATACATATATAAACATGAATGTATGTACATAAAGAGACAGAGACCGGCAGAGAACAAGGGCACACAAGCCCAAACACAGCCCTGACGGAAAGCTGCATTTAAAAAGATACATATCCTGTTACCTGTAACAGTGATTTACAATCTGTACATTTTTTACGCAGCTGTTCCTTAACTCATTCAAAGACGAGAACAGGGAGGGGCTCATATAGACAATCAAGTAAATGCCATTAGCAACTCCTAGCTGTTTGCGCTGCCTTAATTACACGGAGCTGGAATCGCAACCTTTTCCTACCTCTTTTCTCTTTAACGCCCCTCTCAGGAAAGTTTCATGCTGTCGAATGGTAAGGAAATTTTAATTTTGTGCACAAAAGAGACTGAAAATCAGCTACAAAGCCCAGAAGTCAAGGTGCCATGTAAGGATTGCAGATACATGAACAAGTGTGGAAACCATTATCTCGCTGGGTTATGTAAAAAGACGGCCCAGGGGCTTCAGTAATGCACGTACAAAACTAGCCCCGATAATGCTTTGAAACTATCTTTTAAATGAACTGTCTTGGTGTCCTATAGTTCATCAAAGGTTTCCTGTCTCCAAAAGGTCAACATTGTATCCCTTACCCTTTCTGAATCTCAGAATATCTTTGCGGGAACTCATTTCAGAAAGGTGAGCAGGTGTCTCTCAGACCTAACAATCATGATTCCACAGTTCACAGATTCTTAAGATAAATCATTAGAGTGATAGCATACATCGTCTTTTGTCTGTTTTTCAGGCTCAAAGGGTTTGGGGGCTTTTTTTCTTTTTTTTTTTTAAGAACGGTTTTGGAACAGCTGTCAGTGCTAAAACCTGATTAAATGAAGTAGGGTAAAAAAGATGGGATTGTATGGACCTTGATTTCCCTATTAACTGGTAAAATATGCCTTTCTTTTAGTCCATACTTTGTAACATTCCTAATAGTTAGGTTTTAATACCAATGCTTAGCCAACTTTGACATCCACCTCATTTTAAGTCTGCTCTCTCAGCTCCTACTAAATGAACATGTGTGTGCAATGCCCCTGCTCTCTTACTCAAAGGCCCAGTGGATTCAGTTCGGTCGAAACCTTTGCACACACCTGCTTTCATACCTATCCCTATTTTGGAACGACTGACAGTCCAGGCTGGGATGCCATTGGTGAAGCGACTCCTTCAAAGACTGGCATCACACAGCTTGAGGCACAATAACCAGGTGGACCAACCTGGGCATCATTTCTTTATCAGATGATGCCTGAATAATTTGTAACTGAAACTTCAGATTAATGGATTGTTTGTTAACAAGAAATTGTACTACAGTAAATTATATGCAGACTTAGTAAAACAGTTGTTATGGACTAAATTGTTTGTTCCCCTGCCCCCCCCAAAAAAAAAACTTGTATGTTGAAATTCTAACCCCCACAGTGATGGTATTGGGAGGTGGAGCCCTTGGGAGGTGATGAGGTCGTGAGGGTGGGTGGAGTCTTCATGGTTGGGATTAGTGCTCTTATAAGAGAGACCCTTCCCCCAGAACTCCCTTGTTCCTGCCCGCATGTGAAATGGCCAACAAGAAAGCAGGGAGTGGGTTCTCTGTGAAGCAGGAAGTGGGTTCTTCCCAGATACAGAATCTTCTGGCACTTTAACCTTGAATTTCCCAGCCGCCAGAACTCTGAGGAATGGATTTCTGTTGTTAAGCCACCCAACGCATAGTATTCTGTCATAGCAGCTAACACTGCCACCGTATAAACGCCACGCCTGTTCTGACCATCAGTGCTCCTTCTCGGGAGTCAGGAGTGCTCCTGTGTCTGAGTCACCCCGTGGTCCATCTGATCCTTCCCGGCTGCTCCTCTTCACATCACTGGGCATGGGTGTTGGGAACCTCACACCTGGCTTCTAGCTAAAAACATTGCGTTGATTACAGGAACCTGTGCGCTCCACAAGCCAATCGGCTACAGGCACATGAGGTGTGCATGCGCTCCACAAGCCAATCAGCTACAGGCACATGAGGTGTCCACGTGTACCAGTTGCACCCAAGTAACCAATAAGCGGGCCCTTCTTTGTCTCAAGCTAGCCAATAGCAAGCAACCTAATCTCTCCCCCCCCCCCCCATATATATACCCAGTTCGGAAAAATAAAGTTTGCACCTTGATCAGAATCTTTTGTCTTGCTGCCATTCTTCGCGCCTCTTGTCCCCCCAACTCATTTGTTCTAGGTAGGTGGTTGAGCCCCAGTTGACTGCTCCGCGGGCCAGAGCACATGGGCTTGATGCCTCCCTTGCATTCGTTCAGTTACAAGAGCTTTCCTGACCCAGTCACAAACTTAGAGCTTTTCTGGAGTTTCTGCTTTTGTCCTCTCCATTCCTTGCCACTGTTCTTCTTCCTCCCACCCTCCGCCCTTTTCTTTTCTTATTTTTACTCAGTTTAACCCTCGGCCAAATGAGGCCACCTTGCCCTGGGCTTGGTGACTGAGTTGCACCTTGGGCACTTCACTCCCTCTGTAAGTCACTTTCAAATCTGTCATCAAAACTGGACTTGCTGGTCACACTGCCTCAGTCCTGCCACCCTCTCCTGCTGCCGTCCATAGGATCGGCAACTGCGCACCCCAGGCCACTGTGACCAACCATATCACTCACAGTCCATGCTGTTCACACCAAGTCTCACAACTAACTGGCCAGAGCAGTCTAAGTCACTGGCTTCTCTATGAGATGGACGAGATTATTTACTTACCCACCATTCACTGCATGGAGAACGACCCACTTTCTGGACCAACACCTGGGGAAATGTCCTCCAGGAAACAAATGCACAGCCCCCATCCCTGTGGTGCCTGAGAATTCAGGCTGTGGCTGCTGAGTCACTGAGGGGGCTGCCTTCCCAGATGCAGCCTCTCAGCACTTATCCTCGTAACCCTGCCTCCCACCATGTTGAATATAGAAACAGGGCTCTGAAGTAAGGCAGTCAGCGATTCCTATCAAACCCTCCATCTGCCCCCACAGAGACAGTGTCTACCCCATAAGAACCCCAACTGAAAGGAGAGGCACTGGAATATTAATCCCCTATGTGCACTAAGTACTATTTTCACAACATTCAGTAAGGACACAGAGGTGGCACAGACCCTTCACGGGAGAGTTCCCAGGCTAGTGGGGAGGTGTGTCTGTGCAGAAAGTGTGTGTGTGATCGATTTCTCCCTGTGTTATGGGACAATTCATTCAGAAATAGCTCCTGAGAGTGTCCGAGTGTCCTGATGTCAGATACCTGGTCCTAAGCTGGGAAGCGAGTGTAATGTCCCTATTCCATCCTGCGCATCACTAAGAACTTCCACGTACAAACTTTTATTTGTTTACTTCTAAGTCCCTGGAATGTACATTATGTCTATTACATAGACACATCTTCTTTCTTCCTAAAATGGAAAAGCTCCAAACACAAGATTATTCTTTAATGTTAAGTCAGTCCTAGGAAAACCTAAGGTAAGGTACGGTAGGTCAGAGGAGTTCTTCTAGCTTGCTGCCATCTTGAACCCCAACCCCCTCTCCCAGCACGGCCTGTCCCCACACTGCCCACCCCTGTGGAGGGCGAGGGGGTTGAGGTTACCACTCCAGCTCCACCTCGGTCCTGTCTCCACCGCTGCTACATCTGTTACTGGGAGCCAGGGGCTGGACTTCCCTCCACCTCGATTCTTCTACCCGCCCCAAACATTCTGCACGCAATTATTTATGTAGTCTCTAAGAAGAGGAAAATTTCTCTCCACTCTCTTTTCTTCCTGAGCAATCAGTAGAATCAGCATTAAAAGTCCCTTTGCAAACCATATATTTGATAAAGAATCCATATACAAAATATGTAAGAAATTCATAATGATGGAAAAATATGAATTATAAAATATTCTCAGAGAAATGTCATGCCACCTAGTATAAAGATAGATAAATTTATAAATTTTAAATGAAGTTTCTTACAGACAAAAACTAACAAATATCT